ATTATCTTGCGATTTCATTGGCTGACAAGATCTGATGTACATAAGGTTACACGAAAATGATGTACAAAAAAGAATGCCGTATAATTATTTGGATTAAGTAAATTATTATTAATTTTGATTGTGTATAACGATCATTTATCGATCGAAGTCTTTAAGATAAACTATTTGTTTATTTAATTTTTTATATTTTTGTTAACGATTGGTTCGATTTAGAGTCTTATTTAGAGTTAACATTAATAGAAATAAGTGCTAAATTGTAATTGTAAATTTTCAAGAATTATATAACATTTTATTAATACTATACAACTTATCTAATAAAAGTTTGCAGTTCTAAATCATGTTATTAAAATTTTGTAAATTTTTATAGGACCTATGGATTTAACCACTAGTAATTTTAAATCGGTGCTTAAATTTTGTATTATCTCCGTATTGAAGAACTTGATGAGACAATATGTGAAAGTCCGACCTTTGCAACGAATCCACTTCTGATAAATAAATAATACATCAACCTTTTACTTTTATCGGCTAGAAAAAACTTTATGGATTTTAGTGAGTTTTTGATAAAAATCTGTCGATTCTGGAGAATGAATGACTACATACCCTTCCATTATATAGTATAATAATAATGATAAAAACTTATATTCCTGCATCCACCATCTTGTTTTTTATTCAATTATGCATGTTGAAAAATATTTCTCATTTAATTTAATTTTTATGTACTTTATATAGAAAGATAACAAATTTTATGAAACAAGAAAATCATTATCACCACAACTGCGACTACTAACATAGTCGTCATTATTGTTACCATCATCAATATCTTCAACGAATTTAAATAACATCAATTTAATAGTTATTGAAACTTGAAACAATAACTCCAGAAGTAACCTCGAGTAAATAATTTCAGAACTCCCGATATAACTCCTGATCCCGATTGGGGACAACGATTTACCATGGTCACATATAGTCGCTGGGTGAAATTATTTTACGTAAATAGCAAAAGACAAAAAATTGGTCAAAACTGTCTTCCTATATAGTATGACATGGTTTTAATTTTTGCTAATGGCATGCTAAATTCTTTAGTTACGTCAGACATAACATGCATAAACAAAAAGATCTAATAAATTTGATTTTCACATGTTTAAATAAAATCCGACAATAGGACTCATAATTTTCATATATTAAATTCGCATATATTAATGAATTTTAATTTTTTAGGAATACATTTTCATCGTATCCCATAAATTTTCAATGACAATTGTAGTTCATTTTAATTTTAATTGTTCTTTATCCTTAATACCATCGCGAATTAATATTTTTTCGTCGAACCTATGAAAAAAATCTTTTATTAAAAATGTGTCATTTATTAAAAACGTTTTTAGGAATATTGTTGCATACCGATGGCTTTGTTACAAGAATTCCTATAACCAACCCTAAAATGGTTGCTAATAATGTTCCCTTGCTAAAGTCTTCGCTTAGAACATCAAAAGTTTTGGAAGGCGCTTCTCGCGTAAACCACAAATCTAAACCGTATGCAAGTACAAGTGAGGTTGATTCTAAAAGAGAAGGTGATGTTGTAATATGGCGGATTCCGTAAATCTGGACAAGAATATCTTAATGAATATATATATATTTTTTTTTATTTGAAAAAAGAAAATTCAGCGCAAGAAAACAATATACCGGTAGACTATAACATAAAATAAACTTCTTATTGTCAGGAATCGCTGGTTCATAAGGTATCAGCATTTCTTCCTTGTCTTCATTCGTTAGAGCACGTTGTGGTCTTCGCGAATCAAGAAACCTTTTAGGTAAGCCCAAAACTTGATCTGTATCCAGCGCAACTATTAACCCAATTATATGTTAAAACGGTAAAAGCAATGGATTATAAACCTATGCATTACATTAAGAGACTTACATAAAAATTCACGTATAGGAATGCCATTCTTAGTTGTTGTAACACCAATAGTTCTGACTCCGTAAGGGAATATGAATGCTTGAGCGTTTACATACGGACGTTCATTCGCAAACGAAGTAAAATTGTGACTAAAAGTAAATAAAAATGGTACGTCATTATTGCGAATTATTATTAATGGATTTTATAACACAAGCATACCTATCAAATCTTTCATCCGGTTTTTCGCTTTCGTATAAATCACATACAACCACCTTATATCCCTTCTCTTGTTCCTCGCTCCAAAAATGATATACAATTGTATTTTCAACTTGAATAATTTGTACAGGATGTGAAGGACTAACGTTGTCGTGTGTGGCATGATATAATATAGATCCCTTAATAATATCAATCAAATAGAAATCAAGAGATGCTGTTGAAGGAGACGACGTGGCAACTGCAACTGTATGTGGATTAAGGTATTTATATAGAACTGAGCGGTCACCAAGAACTCTGCCTAAAGAGGCAACTTTCTCTAATGTGTGAAACGAAAAAGTTTATTATAATATTATTACTGAGCTGAGATAGTTAACAAATTTTGTTACCATGGCTAGGCCTATGTCCAATTGCCACAATATTATTTCCTTCTGGAAAGTTAAGTTCCCAAAGTCTATTAATATTGAAAGGCTATCTTAAAGGAATTAATAGAACGTGCGAATATAAAGTGATATCTTACAAAATGCAGACAAAAATTATATATAACTCAAACCTGTGAAATTTTATCAATGGCAATGCTATATCCTTTCAAACTTTTACCGCCAATACAATCTGATAATGTAAAATAAAATGATGCTGCGAACTTTTGGAAAACTTTTAATGAACTTTCATGATTTGGATAGATGTGAAGCTATAAATATTCCATGAACATGTGTAAAAGTTTCATAAATATATAATCATAGGTAATATTGATGTTATAAATCATATTATAAAAAGTATTCAGAAAGCACGACAAATTATAACATTAACCTTGCCTTTAAATCTTCATCTAACAATGCAATTATATGCGTTCTTTCATCAGGTTCTTCTACTGGCAATTTAAAAATTCGACGAGCAGTTGTAGGAATGCTAAAAGAGATATTATTTTCTGTAGGCGCGTATATTTCATTATCAGTAATAAAATCTTCCCCAGTAAGTGCGTTTAACCTGAAAAGACAGGTTATGTTGCCTTTCTGTTATTAAAAATGAATAAATAAATAACTCATTGAATGACTTTCTATATTTGTCGAGTGAATATTTGATCCATGCTAACAATTACATACGTCGGTTTTTTGTATTCCTATCGCAACGACAACAGGTGGATATTTGACAGTGGATGACCTAACAACAAATATTTTCTGAAATTCGGATACTATGCCACCGAAATACCGAGACCAAACTATTTGCCCTTTATTGCTAGTATCTAAAGCCACTAATTTCGTTTGAGTCACAAAAATTAACAGCTTATGGAAACCAAAAGTATCTCTATATAGGCTCGTTTTTGCCTTGGATGTTGGCGATGGGTAAACTGAATAATTGCCAGTAGCAAATCGTTGAGCATAAGTAATCAGGTAATCGGGAAAATCCTAAATAAAATTTATTCATGTTTATAAAATATTCATATATTAATTTCTAATCAATCATTACATTCATAAGCCAAATATGATATGCAAGTGAACCTTAAGTTGCTCGATATGATTTATCAATCGTCGAACATATCTAGTCAAAGGTGAGATAGTTTCAGATTCTTCCGATTGTTCGTCTATATTCGAAGTTAATTAGTTAAATGCAAGACATAGGATACTATTGTTATAAGTCATTTTAATGTCGAATTTCATACCAAGCTCGTCGATTTCTTGAGTCCATAACTTTTTCTCTGGTAAATCGAGAAATTCTACTTCCATGGCATGAGAGAGAGACTCTTCCTTATTCCACGCAATGCTGTCTTCTTTAAAAAAATGCACAGAACCATCATCAGAAGTTACGAGCATGCGATAAGCCACAGTTTCGTTATTTTTTTTTGTAGTAACATCGAGCAGTGACTATAAATTAAAAGTTAGAACTAAGAGCGATATTAAACAAAATAAAAATCCTTGCTGTGTATTGTGTCAAAAAATCATACTTTCGTTACGCCTCCGGAAGCGGCCATGGAATAAGAAATTTCATGACTCCCTAATGCTAAACGATGAGCAGGTGCAACAATTTCAATTTTAACGAGATCCTATTGAAAATACATAATATATGCAAAAAAAATTACTGAAGGTTCGTATCATACGTTGACTCTGTCGTAAAACTCGAGTATGACTGTGAATTAATGAAACTACCTTTGATACTGTTACGATTCTAGAAATAATTAGTCGTTCGCTTTTATCAAGGGCACCAGAATAAACTGATGTACTAGCCTAAAAATAAAATAAAATAAATAAATACGTCGTTTACATTGAAAGAAAACGTTACAAGCGAAATTAAAAAATTACCCTCTCTCCTAAATCATAGAGTGCTATTAGTCGGCCACTTTCCAAATCTATATTGAACACAGCAGCAGAATTGCCATTCGTTGTAGACGCTTGAATAAGAAATTCTGTTCTCGAATCTATGTTGAGATTAACAAATTCAAGGTTTCCAACAACACCAGAAAATGATGGTATAACGTTGCGGTAAAGTGACTTCAAATACATACATTGAATGTTAGAATTTTTTTATTAAAGCTTAAGTGTTAAATTTCACCTCATAATTACCTCGAGCGAAGATTGTTCGATAGAATCACTACCCAAACGATTGACACGTATATATTGTCCCTCTTTCCAAACAATGAATCCAGAGTTCGATCTTCCACCTACTATGATCATATCTTTAATATGGCCAATTTGTGAGGAAAGAGATGTCGATTTCAAAACACCAGTCTGAACATCGAAAGTCAATACTTCGATAGAATAAGATTTGAAAGATTTTTTGAGACCAACAGCATACATATTTTGATTATGTCCGACGAGCTTATGAAAAAGCGTAGGACTAAGTTCGTATACAAACAAAAAAATATAAGTAATGGAATGAATTGGATCAACTTAATTCGGAACTATAGATACCTTTCTGCCAGATCCGACCTCCATATCTGTCTACCATCAGTATAATCAAAGTTTACAATGGTACATCCACCTACAAGTACAACTACACCCATGTTGTCCATAGTGAATACAACATCTACCTTCTGCGCAAAAATTTCGTCGTTCTTCGAATTTGTACGACCAGGTCCGGCAGGTTTTATTTTTTGTTCCCAAAGCATAAATCCTGTCTGAATTTCCCAAAGTCGAACAACGTATCCGTCAAGTTCGGATACAGAAATCACAGCTATTACAACAATAGCCATATATCATTTAACTGTAAAAGTAATACGATCTGTGAGAATTCTTTACTTACTGCCATTGTGACCCTTAAATGCTAATATAATTTCATCTTCGAGAACTTGGCGCCATTCTGTTAATAATAATTTATTCAACAGATAAATCAATGAAACTGGATAAAGAAATCCGCCTTTTATCTAAGAATCGACTTCTTTTGATGGGTTTTCAGTACTAACCAATATTCCCGTTACGAGGTGTTATA